CCTCTAGTTCCTCTGTTTATTCATTCCTTGAACCAATATTGACTGAGCTGCTGCATACAGAACTTGGGCACACCTGCGGCAGTCTCTTCCCTTTGCCCTCTCTCTCTCTCTCCCTTTCTCCATACCTGTCAGCCCTTCTCGCCAGCTCCCTGCTTCCCCCACATCTCCCTCTCTGCAACTTCCTCATTAGGAATTCAATGAACTCAAGCCAGAAACTCCAGCTCTTCCCTTGCAGGTGAGAGACAGGGTGCAGACAAGGTTTCCCCCCCTCCCTGAGACCTGCTATTGCACAGTGAGCCCTTAGAGCAACAAGCCAGCAGCACTATGCCCTGGCGGGGGGTGGGGGGGGCGATAGCGCATCCCCAGTTCAACCCACCTGATTTAAAATATGAACACCACCTCTGTACAGAACAAATTAGGTGTGTGCTGGGAGGGTACACCACTCAGGAGGTAAATGCAGGAGCGTTGCAGGTTCAAGACCTGTCCAGGGAGAGGAGGAAGGGAGCACCTCCTCCGAGGTAAACAGTGACCCCGCCTCTATAAACTAAGCCACCAATGTTATTCAGGGACCAAGGAGGAAAGGGTAGCCACTGCCAATCTTTACGACTGGGAGGATTTAACCAGGACACTAGAACACAGGCCACAAAAGCCACTGGGAAAATCAACGAGGAGGTGAGGTGGCCACCCAGAACAGCCAAAAGCAACTCTCCTACAGTAACTGGGAGAGAAAGAGCTAGAGGCAGCGACGGACCCAAGACCAGGGGCAGTCGTAGCTGCCAAATGTGGGAGTAGCAGCCAGGCACGTCCTTGCAGGAGCCAGAGTCATGCTTCAAAGGCTCTAAGACGAGGAAAATACCAACCACCCCCTGGTTTCCCATGAGCACTTCTTAACTGGTCAAACCCAGCCAGACAGCACTGCCATAGAGGGGTAGCCCTCCCAGGGTACTGGGCAAGGGCTGGATCAGGAAGGAGCAGATGAGCCCAGCTGGTTTGGCTCTTACCATATGGCCTGCGTCCACTCCAGAAGCTGCCACTGTGCTTAGGTCCATAGGTTGGAGCGTTTTCATCCTGGAGGGTGTATATCACCAGGACTCCATCCTCCTGCCCTCTTTGAACGTTGGCTTTTGGATGGTCACACGGGCCTTCCCTCCCTCTCTTTACCCCTCTCCTCCCCTTCCCCCTCCCCTTCCTTCTCTTCCCTTCTCCTTAACTTATGCTCCCTCCTCTCTCCCTTCTCCCCTCCCTCCTCTCTCCACTCTTCCCTCCCTCCCCCATTCTTCCTCTCTCCTTCTTCCCTCATCTTCTCCCCACTTCTTCGGGGTGCCCACTGGCCCTTCGTGTCTAGCTCACTCCCTGTGTGTCAGGTCCTGGGCTGAGCTCTGGAAACTTGTCAGAGAAGAAGAAATTCCTGCTACCCCCCCCCCTGCCCCCCAAAGAAAATCCTCTAATGACAGTCTCCTCTACAGCAGCCTGTGCAGGGCAAGCCCACCTGTACACCCCCAGAAGTAGGTACCAGGTAGGTGGTAGCACAAAGGTAGGCATGGCCAGTACTGTGGGGGGCGGGGGCAGGGGGGGAAAGGGGCACGGGGGAGAAAAGCTTCCCAGAGGAGCCCATGCTCACGTTAAATCTTGAAGATTATGTCAAAGCTAAGTGAGCGGACAGGGCATTCCTGGCAGAGGGGCAATATGCACAAAGACATGGGGACAGAGAAAAGAATTGCGATCGGGTCGGGCAGAGGGTAAGAGTTCACACGAAATAGAAAGGCAGGGCTAGCTGCTGAAGGGTCTTTCAGGAGATTTCTTTGGGGAGCTAGCAAGGGTTCTGAAGCAAGACGGGAATGCGTCAAAGGCTTGTAGGCTCAGGCCTGTAATCCCAGCTACTCGGGAGGCTGAGGCAGGTGGATGAAAAAAACGGCAAAGTCGGCTTGGGCTATAGAGTTCAAGGCTGGCCTGGGCAATTTAACAAGATACTGTCTCAAAATAACAAACAGGGGTCGGAGCTGTACCTCGGTGGTAGAGGGCTTGTCTAGAATGTATGAGGCTCTAGGGTCCATCTTGAGTATTCAAGACACAGACGCAGGGGATATCTGTGAAAGGGTTGTTTGACAACCCCAAAGGGGTCCAGACCCACAGGTTGAGAATCATTTGTCTAGAGCCTGAAATCCAACACAGAGGCACGGTAAATAGATCAGTGCCCCTTCTGAAGGAGCCAGCTTCCTTGTACACAGAGGTCTTGTGTCCTCATGTGGGGAAAGGGGAAGCTAGCTCCTCTGGGCCTGTTTGTTGTTTGTTTTTGAGACAGGGTTTTCTCTGTGTAGCCCTGGCTGTCCTGTCCTGGATCTTGCTCTAGACCAACCTGGCCTTGCACTCACAGAGATCTGCCTGGCTCTTCCTCCCGAGTGCTGGGATTAAAGGTGTGTGTCAACCACAGCCCGGCAGGGCCTCTTTCTTTTTTCCCTCCAGACTCAATTATTCCCCCAAGTCCCACCTCCCAAGCTATAGCCTTGTTAGTGAGGATCTAACACTTGAATCTGGGGCCTGGTCATAGCAGGGAGCACATTAGAACTGAGAGTGAGCCAGGCCACTCTGTCTACCACGTGGAGAAGGATCCGGAGGTGTCACCTGAGGATGCAGGGTGGGAGAGAGGCAGCATTCACAGGACAGCAGGTGCAATGACTATCTCCCCCATCCCTCCTCCCTCCTGATGTCAAGGATTGGGAGAAGAATTAAGGGGAGGGGAGCTAAAGGGGGTGGGTAAGAGGAGGAGGGAGGGAGGAAAAGCTGGAGCGGGTGGGATGCAAACAAACCTTGGGAAAAGTTAAGCTTTTTTCCAATAAATCAGTTGTCAGGGCCTGGGGTTGCTAGGCTACAGGAAGGTGGAACAGCCTGCGCCTGCTTGCTAAAAGGAGCTTTGGGGGAGGCCGGTGTAATCTGTCAAGTTTTCCTCCTCCAGGCCCACATCCCGGAGCCTCACCCTAGGCAGGGTGATGGGGGCGGAGAGAGAAGTGCCGCTCTATCTCCAGGCCACGCCCACATGTTCAAACTATGCAGTACCGCACAGGGGAGGTTTGGGGCCTGAGCCTGGATGGAGTACCCTAAGCCCTGAGCAGTCGGTGGGTCCACAGATGTGCAGGTGAGCTGGGTGTGCCTCCGGTCTATCATTTACCAAGGCTACTCAAGAGGCTGCTGGGATCTCCAGGGCAGTAGCTCAGGATCCTTCTGCTATTTGGAGTAGCAAGTACCAATCATTCTTTTAATATGCATTTAGGCCATAGGTTTTTGTTTGATTTGTTTTTTAGATCTCTACTATTCTGGATTTCCCTTGTATAACCGAAGTAGCTTCTTAAAAAATATATTGTAGCTGGACGGCGGTGGCGCATGCCTTTAATCCCGGGAGGCAGAGTCAGGCAGATCTCTGTGAGTTCAAGGCCCAGCCTGGTCTACAGAGCAAGATTCAGGACAGGCACCAAAACTACACAGAGAAACCCTATCTCAAAAACAAACAAACAAACAAACAAAAACTACACACACACACATATACACACCCCCCCATATTTTATAAGGGTGGAAGCATGTGCGTACAATGCTGTGTGGTGTGTCAGAGAACAACTTTTGGGACTCAGTTCTCTCCTAATGTGGGTCCTAGGGACTGAGCCTGGGTGATCAGGCTTGGCAGCAGTTGCCTTTACCCACTGAGCCATATTGTCCAGTTGCCTTTACCCACTGAGCCATATTGTCCAGTTGCCTTTACCCACTGAGCCATATTGTCCAGATGCCTTTACCCACTGAGCCGTATTGTCCAGTTGCCTTTACCCACTGAGCCGTATTGTCCAGGCTCCTGTTTTGTTTTGTGTTTTGTTTAGTCATAGCTTAAGTAAATTCATATTAATGTTATGAGGAGAGCTACATGATAAAAAGTCTAGCCGGGCAATGGTGGCGCACGCCTTTAATCCTAGCACTCGGGAGGCAGAGGTAGGTGGATCTCTGAGTTTGAGGCCAGCCTGGTCTACAAAATGAGTTCCAGGACAGCCAGGGCTACACAGAGAAACCCCATCTTGAGAAACCAAAAAAAAAAAAAAAAAAGTCCAGGAATGGTTATTCATTTTGCTTTCCAAGACCATGAATGAATGAATGGATGGTTTTGCCGCATAGAATGTGATGCTACATGGCCATCTGCTCTCAGTTACATGTTGGGGCTCAGAATTGTCTGGGATACATGGCTTCAACTCTGTTCCCATGGACACACACACACACACACACACACACACACACACACACACACATGCAAGTTCTGGGTGTGCTGTTTAATAAATGCATGTTATAGAGAGAGCCACCTAAAACTCACCCACGTCAAGCCTCCTGCCTTCTACCTCATCCCTATAAGCTCCACCAGGTCCCCCTGGGCCCAGAGCTCCTGGAGGCAAAAGTGTAGGTTGCTGAGAGATGATGCAAACGGCCCTGCAGGGCCCGCCTCTAAGAAGGATGGAAAAGAGATGAAGACCAATGGAACACAAGACAGGAAGCTAGAGTGGTAAGGTGCTGTGGGATGTTCTGTATGCTGTAGATGTGTTGCTCTGACTGGTTGATAAATAAAAACCCTGTCTCAAAAAACCAGAGAGAGAGAGAGAGAGAGAGAGAGAATGCTGAACCATACAATAGAGGCAAACATTGAGGCTACTACATTAAGTGAAATAAGCTGGCTACAAAAGGTCAAACACTGTATGTGTCCACTTATGAGATACTTAGAGTGGCCAAAATCAATGGACAGAAAGTAGAATGGCATTTGCCAGGGACTTAGCAAAGAGCAGAGTGAAGACTTATTGTTTAAAGAGGAGAAAGGAGTCGGATGGTGGTGGGAGACACATAGTAATAATGCATTTAATGCCACCGACCTTCTATGGGGTTGGGATGTAGCTCAGCTGGTAGAGTGTCTGCCTAGTGGTCATGAAGCATGGACTGAACCTACAGCACTACCTAAAATCAGGCATGGTGGCACACACCTGTAATCCCAGGATTCAGGAGGTGGAAGCTGGAGCATCACTGAGAGTCTAATGCCGTTCTGGGATACATGAAACCTGTCTCAAAAGAGAGAGAAAGTTGGGGGGAAGGAGAGAGAGGGAAATGTTTAAGATGGCTTTCTATCACATGTAATTTACAATAAGAATGCAAAGATAAAAGCTTAACGTGGAAAGTAAGTTGAGTCACAAAGGCTACAGTGAATGATATCAATGTAAGGAGTATGTCTTTATTGCTGGCTCACACATTAATCATTACCATTGTTTTACAGTGTATGCTCCTATATATTTTTTTAAATTGCCATAAAGTGATACTTTGTGTCTAATCAACAGCACCTCTTACTAGGTATACTCTTTTTTTTAATTACACTCATGATATTCATTAATTATACTCACGATATTAATTAAATTTGTGGTATTCATTGATTACATTTGCAGTATTCATTCAATAACTATATTTATGATATTTATTAATTACATTAATTGTATTAATTTATTACATCCATATCCTGATACTATTGTCCATTGACAATACCTGAGAAAAGCTCCGGGCTGTTGTGGAGATTATGCACACTGGTGACTAACTCTGAGTTACCCACAATGCATCAGTGTCACATGAAGGGAAGGAATAAAGCGCTTCTCCTTGGAGTCAGTTAACCAAAATCGAGTCCAGATTGGAATCCTCTGCTCCATGCTCCTTGTCTCATCCATCCTCTGTCTGTTGCAGGAGTCTGAATCAATGTCTGCCTGAGGCTGTCCTGGGAATCAGTCTGTCCCTGTGTGTGACTATCTTCTGTGCGTGTCTGTCTTGTGCCTCTGTCACGTGATTGTGTGTGCCTGTCCCTCACAAAGGGCTTTGTTCTGTCTCTGTTGAATAGCATAGAAAGAAGCATCACGTGGGGGCAAGAAATGGGCTATTTTACAGAAATCGTTGACAGAGTTTTACAAGGGACTAAGTCACTGGTTCTAAATGATCCCCACTGACCCAGACAACAGACAGTACTATAGACATCGTTGTTGATCGACTCAGAACCACAAATGGATGTTTTCAACCTTTGCGGTAGAATTTGGGCAGTTGCTTTCAACGTCTGTGTTTGCTGCCTTCAGGAAATGATATGCATGCGTTGTTCTGGGTCGGGGTTGTGGAAGAGAGTACACAATTTAGGATTACAGCTAAGCAGTAGCTTGTGTTATAAAAGTCGATCCCATGGAAAATACAAGGCAAGTAGTGTTGGTTGTTACACTGTTCTCTGGAAGGCGGGTTAAACAAACAGGCTGGGTACACAATAGGACAACAGCCTTCGGTTTTTAGGTGGTTTTTTTTACAGCCTTCGGGGTGTATTACTAACTCTGGCTGTGAGATTCAGCAAAAGTACCAGCCTCATAGAATGTAGGATATTTCTGTTATATTTACATTACCACAGATGGAGGAGGGGAAAATTAGGGCAGGGAGGACTTGGGAGAAACCAGTCTCTGTCCCCAATCTCCACTGGCTCCCAACACTGTGTAACCCACGGAAGGCACAAGAGTGACCAGAAGCTAGGCTTCTTCAGACCTTATAGGTCTCCCCAAGCCCAGAGGGATTCCTGTTCCTCTCAGAGAATGTAACTGCCCAGTTGGTATCTATGGGGTCCGGTATGACTTAGCCTCACTGTGGGTCTGATTCCTCATCAATATAATGAGGGGACTCTCAGCTTTGCTGCTACAATTAAACAGATTCATAGCTGAGAAGCGCTTCGGACAGTGTCTGGCATGTGAATCACTCAGAAATGTTACCTGTGATGATTTCTGTCAGAATCACCATCGCCTGCTCATTATTTGATGCTCAAAGTGTGAAATAAATGCAAGAATGAAGCCAAAGGAGGCCAAACGGTTGCCTGAGGCCACACAACTATGTAAGGGAGCCAAGATTCCGACTCAGATCTGCTCGGCCTAAAGCTTGGCGTATCAAATTTGTCTCCCTGGGCTCCCGGCGTGTTCTGTGATGTGTGGGAAGCTCAGAAACTTTGTGCACAGGTAGCAAAATTCAAACTGTGGCTCTGGGCTCCAGGTCCTCACTGCTAGCCATGTAACCCGGGACATGCAGGTTGTATCTCTGATCCTTAGCGCGCCCCCCTCCCCTTGTGAAATGGATGATATGCCCACTGCAGTTCAGTCCAGATCTGTGCATCCTGGGGAAGAAAATACTATCTCATCAAAAGGTCCAATCCCAAGCAAAAGAGTGGCTTTGGGCAGAGCCTGCCTTCAAAATCTTCATTTTTGTGCTCCAAGCAATTTGGGATGGCCTTCCCACTCTGGACCTCTGAGACTTGAGGCCCTTGAGTTTTCTTCTCTGGCCAACCCTGAACCTAGAATTTCCTCCCGACTCAGGTACAAGCCATAATCACTAATACCTCCCGAGAGCATGGGTGATGTAAGAGCTGGAATCTTCTGCTAGGGACTAAAGACATCTATCCTCCCTATATCATATCAGAATCTCCAAAGGGGCTTGTGTCTGGGACAGGGTCTCTTCTGGATAAGCCCTGTCATGTGGGACATAGGGACCTTCCTGTGCATCAGCCAGGCCCTGGCCATGTCCCAGGATCATCTCTTTGCCTTTTGGGCAATATAGTCATACTTGCCATGGAGATGCCACCTCTCATCTTCGTATCTCGAAGAGCTTTGGAAATGTTAATTAATACGAGGCACCGCCTACAACAGCAGACTCGCGGGCGACTCCCTCCAGTTCCAATTGCAGCTTCTTTCCGACATATCACCCTCCATTAAGACGGAAACCTACGGTTTCTAAGGCCCAACTCAGCCCTTGCGCCAGCACGGAGGTCACGTGCCCCGGGCTTGAAACACAGTTTCAACAGCCTTCCTAGCTGATTTCAAAGGACCCCTTCGCTGGTATCATCCCATCTGTATTAGGCACCAGTGTGAACATATGGGTTCCAGCCCCAGCTCCCCATCCTGAGGGCATGATCCTAGGCAGGTTCATGACCTTTCTGCCTCAGTTTCCCCATCTATAAAATGACATAATAGTTCCTAACTCTGGGGATTGTTGTGAGCCTACTGAATGAGATGGTATCTACCAAGTGCCTACTTCTGTGCCTGGTACCAAGAGCTACTCAGCACGTGAGTCCCCTCCTGCTCGCCTCCCATTCCCACCAGCTGTATGGAGAAATAAGGAGAAAAGTCGTTTGTCGGTATCGCCTGCTCCAAAACAAGATGCATTTGATCACTGGCCAAGATCTATTCCTTTCTTACATCCCCTCTGGAATTCCCTTTTGCCCTTTTCTTCTTATAGAAAAGCCAAGGCAGAGTAAAAATGGGAGATGGTCTGAAGGGCAAGTCATGGAGAGCGGGGCACGTTGGTCATGTGTTAGACACAGCAAAATAAGCTGTGTTTAAGCAGAGACTGTTTACAGCCTCCACACTGCAATTATTAACCTGGCTACAATGAGTGAGAGAGACCCAGCAAGTGTCCCCTCCTTTAGAGGTCTATGACAGGTCGTGCACAGTAGGCATTCATTCATCTCAAGAGCATAATAACAGACATCTTCTTGTCCAGCGTGCTATGACCTGCTCTAACCTTCTCTGGGTGACGCCACTGTACTAGAGCCAGGCAGAGGGGACAGACTAGTAACCGTGAATCCCCAATAGCCTTTGGATTCTGGAGCTATGCTAGGAGAGCAAGAGCGGGTTAAAAACCCAATGAACAAATGGAAAAGTCCACTCAGAAGGCAAATGCCACAAGCTAACTTAGGAAGCAGACCAGCCGGGAAAACTGGAGCTGGAGGTGAGTTCATAGAGTACTTGGCCTAGCACGTCAGAGGCCCTGGGTTCAATCCTTGTGGGATGAAGGCATAAGGGTCAGACGTTCAAGGCCATCCTCAGACACCTATCTAGTTTGTGCCCTGTCTAGGTGGCACCTGTCTCAAAAAAATAAAAATCACGCTAACAAGGAAAGAAAAAAAAGGAAGAAAGGCAAATGGAGGTAGAAGGGAAAGCTGGGGGTGAGGTCCCCGGCAGGGTGCTAGCTAAACGGAGCAGTGGGTACTCACTGATCCAGAGGTGCCAGCCTGGGCCAGGCATATGGCAGGGGCCCAATGCCAGCCGTGGAAAGGGGGTGGGGAGCTGAGGGAAGACAAGCCTGGGCAAGGGAAAAGCTGAGGCTGAAACAAGTTGAGCAAGAACAGGATAAGGTCAGAGAGCGCACGTGACTATGTTGTCAAACCCAAGTGTGACGGGCAGAAGGGCCGAGTCAGAGACTGTGGGGACCACGGTCCCCCTGCCTAGCTCTCGCTGCTGTGGGCTCCGAGCCTCGAGCCGTGGCTGGCAGACACACACTAAGGGCTTGTAGTACTTGCTGCCCTTGCTATTAGTTAGAAGCCAGTGAGTGACTGAGGTGACGGAAGAGGTGTGCTGGCTAGCTTTAGGTCAATTTAGCAAAAGCTATACTCACCTGAGAAGACAGAACCTCACTGGAGAAAATGCCTCCCTCAGATCAGGCTACAGGCCATTTTCTTAATTAGCGGAGGAAGGAGAGCCCGGTCTACTGTGGGTGGGGCCATCCCTGGGCTGGTGGTCCTGGGTCCTACAAGAAAGCAGGCTGAGCAAGCCATGAGGACCAAGCCAGTCAACAGCTCCCCTCCATGGCTGCAGCATCAGCTCCGGCCTCCAGGTTCCTGCCCTGCTTGAGTTCCTGCCCTGACCTCCTTCAGTGACAGATAGTGATATGGAAACATAGGCCAAGTAAACCGTTTCCTCCCCAAGTTGGTTTGGTGGTGGTGTTTCATCGCAGCAAGAGTGACCCGAAGACAAGAGGAGAGGCCAGTTGTGCGCACATGCCGAGTGCTGTGGTTGGCCTCAAAAAACCTGGCCGTCTCTGAACTCAGACATACCTCAGACCTGAACTCTCGTTCTCCTTATAGCTCATTTGAGTCTCCTGTGGCTGATGTAACCAATTACCACAAACATGGTGGCTGACAGCAACAGAAATTTATTCCTTCACAGCTCTAGGGGCCCGAGTCCCAAATCAGCATATGAGAACCAAAGGCAAGGCGTCAGCAAGGCCGTACTTCCTCCGGAGTCCCTGCCAGGGAGACTCCTTGCCTTGCCAGCCTCCAGTGGCCGTGTCTGTTGGCTTGTGACTGTGTCACACTTTCTGTCCCTGTCCTCTTGGGCTGTTTTCCCTCTGTGTCCTCTCGGGCTGTTTTCCCTCTGTGTCCTCTCCTCTCCAGGTCTCTCTCTCTCTCTCTCTTTTTTTTTTTTTTTTTTTTTTTTTTGGTTTTTCGAGACAGGGTTTCTCTATGTAGCTTTGGAGCCTGTCCTGGGACTCACTCTGTAGCCCAGGCTGGCCTCGAACTCACAGAGATCCACCTGTCTCTGCCTCCCGAGTGCTGGGATTAAAAGCATGCACCACCACCGCCCGGCTTTCTGTGGGTCTCTTAGTACGATGTTTGTCAATGGATGTAAGGTCCGCTAAAAATAACCTAGACCGATCTCTGCCTTAGTTGGCTTTGACACCTCCGTGACAAAACCCCTGACAGAAACAACCTCAGAGAAGAACCATGGCTTCAGAGAGTTAAATCCATCGAGGAGAAAAGGGCATGGCAGAATCAAGCTGGTCCTGAAGTGCCAGCCAGGAAGCAGAACAAAGGGAATACATAGAGGAGCAGGAGCAGGATACAGCCAACAACAACAAAAAAACAAAACAAACAAACAAAAAAAACACAAAAGAATGCTCCAGTGGTCTGCTTCCTCCAGATAGACCTCACCTTCTAAGGTCTACAGAAATTCCCATAATAGCACCACCAGTTGAAGGACCAAGCAGTTCAAAACATGAGCCTGTGTGGGATCTTTCAGTCTGGAACAACCTCACTTCTAGATCCTTAACCTGATTGCGTTTATGCAAAGAGACCTCCTTTCCAAACCCACAGAAATTGGAGAATTCTCATGCAACTCACCTGTGGCTCCCTGACCCATGCTTTACTCCCATAGAGCTCTGAGTGGGCCCCCCTGTTGTAGTGAGTGGTTGTTCTCACCATGCCCTGAAGCACCGCCCCTGGTGAGGTAGCAGGTAACTGTTACACCTGCCTATGACCTTGAGGTACATGCCCCTGGGGCATGGCCGCTGGGGGACCCTTAAGACCTGAGATGTATGTTTGTGCTCTCCAATACCTCCTAGTTTTGGATGCTGAGATCTTGGACCAGGCAGATTAGCGTGGGACATAGCTCAGCTCTCCCAGACTCTACGATAAATCTCCCGCGCTTGTGAGTTAACCCCCAAATAAATTCCTTTGCTCATTAGATAGACTCTATGGATTAATCCTATTACCCTGTCCTATGTTTTATTCCCATAGGGCTCTGAGTGGACATTAACTATTATGAGCGAACATGTTGATGAATGATTACTGTGTTGCTCCCTGTTGTGACAGGGTACCCAGAGATTTGTCCAAGAGGGTCACTGGGGGCTACAATCCCAGACCCATCCAGGCCCCTGGAGAAGACTGCTTTACAGGGGGCTTTGATCAGTGTCACTCTCTCCTTCAGCACGGAGCTCAGGGGACTCATGCCTGTTCCCCATTCACCAGGAGTTGTGGGAGAGTAGCAAGT